CAATCTACTTCCGTAGTGATACTGCCTTGGCAACCCAAGGAGGGGTCGCTATGAGTCGGGTTGGACTCGATGGCACATAACAACAACAGGGTTATCATACACAATCATATCTGAAAGTTCTACCTATATATACCACACACTTCAAAAAGCAAACAGGTTTTGGGTATAACCATAGTCAGTATTAGAGTCTTAATTCTACTTAGAATCATTAAGAAGTAAAATCACCACATTTCCTCAAAGGAGGACGCCAAAGAGCCAGAAGAAAGGGCAGAGAAAAGGTATTATAAGAGAGAGAAAATATTTTTCAAAGTCTGAGAAATCACAATTGTTCTAAATGCATGCTTTTTTTTGCTTAAATCATAAAAAAAAAGATATTTCAACACATTATGGCTTGCTTATCAAACACTAAGATTTACACTGAAGAAAAATTATGGCACTGGCATAATATGATGACCAAAACTCAAAAGACTCAGTCAAGCATGATGAATAAAGTCCTAGTGGGAATCATCAGCTATAAGACAGACATAATTATGTTGTTGTAATTGATGTTTCCTTCTCTGCTACAGTATCTGTTGTTGTTGTTATGTGCCGTCAAGTTGGACCTAACTCATAGCGACCCCTCCTTGGGTTCCGAGGCAGTATCACTTGGGAAGTTGACTGCGTAACCTTCCTTCCGAGGAGTGGCTGGTGGGTTTGAACCGCCAGCCTTCGGGTTAGCAGTCAAGTGCCTTAGGCACTATGCTACCAGAACTCCTTACTTTAGATCTCCTTGCTTTAGATCTACAAAAACATCTTACATGGATTCTATAAAGAACACACTTGAAAACAAGTGCTGATTTGAAAAACAAACCTACACAAGAGTAAAAGATAGTGAGTTGAAAGCTAGTTTTAACAAATTATAAAAGGCTCATTTAAATATGGATATTTTACAAAGAAAAACAATGCAAAAACAACCAGAGTATGTGTTTTAAGAGACTACTAGGTCTACCTCAGAAATAAATGGATCTTGTCGTCGTTCTGGAACAACTGACTCTGAGGAATCTCCCTCTTGCTCTTGATGGCCCTATTAGGTAAAGAGTATATATTGTGTGTCCAGATCACCACAATAAAATAGCAAGACTTACAATGCAATTATGATTTAAGGCTCAAAGATCCATAAACAGGAACTATGTTTTTACTGGTTTTAATTTAAAGTGAAGAAATTCTACATTCACCATTCTTCTATGCTATGAAAAACATGAGACTACTTTATTCTACCTAAACAAACAGGCTTCACTGAACATAGTTTTTTTTTTTTTCCTTATTTGAACATTATTTTTTTCCAAACTGAAACCTGTGTATGTGGACGAGAATACTGGTATGCATTAAACTCAGAGGATGGTCTGAAATGTATTTCTGAAATATGGCTATACCTTTTCTCTGAAAAAGTTAAAACAGATTTGCTACCTAGACAAAAAGATAATTCAACGTATAAATAGTATACTCCTAGAAAAGGAATCCTATGCTTTACATTTTTGTGCTTTCCTTTTTGGTGAAAAGAAAAATAACATTGGTAGATTAATACTCTAAGGGATCATGTAATATATCTAGTATAAATTAAACTGGACTGACATGCCATAAATGCATCTATAGTGTATATAACAATATATTAGAAATTAGTAAAATTTATTCAACAAATATGTGAAATAAAAGCAGGAAGGAATAGCAAGGAAATTTAGATCCAAATGTGGTTTACAACTGTATAATGTATACACTTAGTACATGAAAGACATGACTAATCATACTACCCACTTTTATGATTCAGAGTTTAACTAGCAAGAAAAAAGAGAGAGGGAGAAAGAAAGAAAGCAGGCAGGCAGGAAAAAAAGTGGCTCTGACCAAGATCTTAGCATGTACACTTATGGGAAATTATAATACTGGCAAATATTTGAACAACTATATGCTTACTGGGTAAGAAAGATGATCAGCTGGCTGCCGAAATGGCTCTGAGTCTTCACGTTCATAAATGAGGCTCAACAGTTCTTCACATTGTTTTTTCCAAGCATCAGGATTACACTTTAAAGATTGTCTTCTGCCTCGGCATTTGACCTGCAGATTTTAAAAGAATTTTATCTAGAAGTTTTAACTTTCTGACACTGATTTTCTCACGTATTCCTAGTATTAATATTATCTATGTAGGAAGGAGCAGTTGCTATTTTCCTTAGTTTAGATTAGACACCATTCTCCTTGACAACAAAATAAACTACATATTACATTCATGGAAATTTTAAGAACTCTTACTATTCTGAATATTCATTTAAAGAAATCTGAACCTCAAAAAAAGTAAAGAGGAACCAGTACTTTTTCCTCTACCAAGTTAGGAGTTAGTAATGCTTAATATTTGCTGGTAGTGAATTTATACTCAACAATGCCAATATATTTTTCTCAAAACATTTAGAAGAATTTTTCTTAGTAAATCCTTTGTGGACATGAAAAATTCTGACCTTTACTATTTGATACTTTTTTTCTTTTAATGAATTGAGTATTTCAAAGGAAACTGTTTCTTGAATAGAATGACTACATGTCTAATTACCATAGAGTCAAAGTGTGTAGAAAAAGAGTTATCATAGAAGGCTTGAAGTTGCTATCTTTAGAAGGCCTGCTTCTAAGGTGGGCCCTTATCTGGCATCTGTGAATATGGCACTTGAACTGTTTCCTTAATCATAAGGGTGGTTTACTGCGCCTAGACTGTATAAGCAATGTTATTTGTGCAGAACACCTGTTTTCCTTCTGGGAGACTTGACTCTTGATACATGCTAGGCAGACAGTGCCTACAAAACCAACCCCCAATAAAATCCTTGGGGACTGAGTCTCTAATTACCCGTGTTAGTGTATTTTCATTGAGGAGGAAGACTGTGGTCTGTGACCTCTCATAGGAGGGAGAGAACATAGACGTCTCCACACATATTTGTCCAGATTCTACCTACATCGTTGTCTCTTTTGGTCCAGCTGCAAAGCCTTACTACAGCACTGTAATAAACTTAGCCAATGATATGCTGAGTCCTGTGAATCCTTCTGGTGATTATCCAAATAGGAGGGTTGCCTTAGAGACCCCTGACACAGGAAGGGTGAAAACTTTTATTCTCAGCAGTTAATTTATTCACTTACTCTTCTTCCAGATGAAGTACCAGGACCATCTGAATCTAAATCAACCATTACTGTATCCTAAAATTAAATGGGGAGGGTGGGAGAAAATGTTAAGTTATATTTAATGTCTTACAAGTTAGATGGACATACACAAATAGAAGGTAAATGTACTCACAATAAACTTTCACTCATTATAGCAGGCAGGAGAACAAAGGCTGGAGGGAGACTAACTCTAAACTTTGCCAATAAGCTATGTTTGTTGTGATGGCTGTTATGTGCTATCAAGTCGTCACCAACTCATAGCGACCCTATGTACAACAGAACGAAACACTGCCTGGTCCTGTGCCAGCCTCATGATCCCTACTATACCTGAGCCTATCACTGCAGCCACTGTGTCAATCCATCTCATTGAGAGACTTTCCCTTTTCAATTGACCCTCCATTTTACCAAGCATGACATCCTTCTCCAGAAAATGGTGCCTGCAGACAATATGACAGAGTAGGTCAAGCCTTCAAAGTAGGTCAGACGAAGTCTGGCTATTCTTGCTTCCAAGGATCATTCCGGCTGCACTTCTTCCAGGACAGATTAGTTAGTTCTTTTAGCAGTCCATGGTAATTTCAGCATTCTTTGCCAACACCACAACTCATAACCATCAACTCCTCTTCAGTCTTCCTTATTGATTATCCAGCTCTCACATGCATATGAGGTGATTGAAAATACCCTGGTGTGGGTTAGGCACATCTTAGTCTTCAAGGAGATATCTTTGCTCTTCAGCACTAGAAAGAGGTCTTTTGCAACAAATTTGCCCAATGCAATACATCTTTTGATGACCTGACTGCTGCTTCCATTGGCACTGATTGTAGAACCAAGTAATATGAAGTCTTCGACAACTTCAATCTTTTCTCCGTTTATTGTGATGCTGCTTATTGGTCCAGTTGTGAGGATTTTTTTTTTTAAATATAGAAGTGTAATCAATACCACAGACTACAGTGTTTAATCTTCATCAGTAAGTGCTCCAAGTCATCCTTACTTTCATCAAGCAAAGTCGTATCGTCTGCATATCTCAGGTTGTTCATGAGCTTTCTTCCAATCCTGCTGCCACATTCTTCTTCATATAGTGCAGCTTCTTAGATTATTTGCACAGCATACAGATTGAATAAGTATGGTGAAAGGATACAACCCTGACACACTCCCTTCCTGATTTTAAACCATGCA